CGTCAGCGGCTCACGGGCGGCGTCGGCGGCGTCGGCGGCGTCGGCGGCTCACGGGTGACGTCGGCGGCGTCGGCGGTGCACGCGCGGCGTCGGCGGTGTCGGCGGCGTCGGCGTCGTGGGCGGCTCACGGGCGGGCGGCTCACGGGCAGCGGCTCACGGGCGGCGGCTCACGGGCGGCGGCGTCACGGGCGGCGGCGCACCAGCGGCGGTTGACGGGCGGCTGCGCTGACGGGCGGCGCTCACGGGCGGTGCTCACGGGCGCCGCTCACGGGCGGCGTTCACGGGCGGCGGCGCACGGGCGGCAGCGCACGGACAGGCCGCGGGCGGCGAACGGGCGCTAGGGCGGGCGCCGGGCGCTAGGGCAGGCGCTAGGGCGGGCGCTAAGGCGGCCGCTAGGGCGGGCGCTAGGGCGCTAGGGCGGGCGCTAGGGTAGGCGCTAGGGCGCAAGGCGCTAGGGCAGAAGAAAAAGAAAAAAAAAAATCTAAGTGGTGGGCCCTAAGCACAGTTCTCACAGGGGAACCTGCTCTGATTCCATGAGAAGAAACGAACGAGAATGAGGATGGACTATGAATGAAGTGAGTACAAATATGAAACCCTAATTGGGTTGTACCCCCTATGGGATACCCCACTATAGCCTACACAAATAAGTAAGCTATAATGTTCTGACAGTCGGGCCACCTACTGACGCGACCCCGTCGCCCGGCAATCAACATCCACACTGAGTAGTGGTACCGATACGGGCTATTGACCGCAACCGGACGAATAAGGTGGATGAACATGTTACCCTGTGTTGGTCGTGGGGAGGTTTAACGGGCATAAAATAAAATTATTCGTTGACGGTGGGGCGAGCCACAGTCTCGTCAACCTAGCAACGGCCAAAAAAAATGGGGTCAAGCTGGACAGGTGTCTACCCGAGATTGACGCGCGTCTGGTGGACGGGACACCGCTGGCGATAAAAGACGAGGTCCGACAAATTCAGATGAAGTGTGGCGACGATTTCGGGTTTTCCATGCGGATGTTGGCGACAACACTGGACGGTTGCGATGTACTGCTTGGAAGAGATTGGCTGCAGCGATTCAATCCGATCATCGACTGGACGACGGGGGCGATCACGGTGCTGTGCAACAAGGGGCGCGTGACACTTCCGAAATGGGCAGAGCCGGAGCCGATGACAATACGTGTCAATGCGATAACACTGAAGAGAGTGATCAAACGGGGAGCGCAAGGCTACGCCGTACATCTGTACGAGGTGGTGGCTTCCGAAAAAATCGCCAACATTGACACGCTCTACGCTGCTGTACCCGACGACGTGGCGAGCAAAATTCGGAGGTATCCTGAAATTTTCGCGGATGACCTGCCTGACGGGTTGCCACCTCAGCGTCCGGAAGACCACAGGATTGAGTTGGAGCCAGGCGCAAAACCAACTGTTCGGTCACAATGGCGGCTCAGCCAACCGGAGCTCGACGAATTGCAGAAACAGCTGGATTATCTGCTTTCTAAGGGTTTTATCCGCCCGAGCACGTCACCGTACGCCGCCCCGATACTGTTCACACCGAAGAAGGACGGAGGCCTGCGCATGTGCATCGACTACCGAGCGTTGAATCGGGTCACGATCAAGTCACGTTACCCGATCCCACGAGCAGACGACCTGTTGGACCAGCTTCGCGGGGCTCGTTTCTTCTTGAAAATCGATTTGCGAGGTGGCTACCACCAGATTCGTGTGTTGGCCGACGACTGCCCGAAGACTGCATTCCGCACCCGCTACGGCAGTTATGAGTACACCGTGATGCCGTTCGGGTTGACGAACGCACCCTCGACTTTCCAGCTCACCATGAACGGAGTGTTTCCGGACATGTTGGACAAGAAAGTCATTGTTTACCTGGACAACATCCTGGTGTACAGCAGGACTCGGGAGCAGCATTTACAGGACTTAGACGAGGTGTTCCGACGCTTGCAGCAGAACCGGCTGATTACGAAGGGCTCTAAGTGCGAGTTCTTACGGTCGGAGCTGGAGTTTCTGGGGCACGTAGTCTCAGGGGAAGGCATTAAAATTGACCCTCGTAAAGTAAAGGCGATTTCGGAGTGGAAGCCGCCCACGAACATCACTGAGTTGCAAAGTTTCCTCGACTTCGTTAACTACGTCCGCCGTTTTGTACCCAATATGGCGGGGGTAACCAGGCCGTTAACCGATCTTCTGCATAAGGGCGTGCATTTTAGTTGGGGGAAGAGAGAACAGCTGGCTTTCGACGAGCTGAAGAAAATTTTGAGTTCACCCCCGGTGCTTCGGCTGGCAGATCCATCTCGACCGTTCGAAGTCGTGACGGACGCCAGCGATTTCGCCGTCGGCGCTGTGCTACTACAGGACTTCGGCAACGGGCTGCAACCCATCGCGTATGAGTCAAGAAAAATGCAGCCGCCCGAGCGCAACTACCCGGTTCACGACAAAGAAATGCTCGCCATCGTGCATGCGTTTCGTACTTGGCGATGTTACCTCACGGGAGCTGATGTCACAATCCAAACTGACCACAAGTCATTACAGTACATGCGCAGCCAACCACAGCTCAACCCACGACAAATCCGGTGGCTCGACTACCTCGAATCCAACTTCCGCTACACCATCACATATAAAAAGGGCACCAACAACATCGCCGACGCCCTGACCCGCCCATCGATGCAGACCGCAGCAGTACTAATCGCCCATTCTAACCCTTTATTGGCAGGATTATTCAAGCACGGCTACAAGATTGACAGATTTTTCAGGACCAATCAACACCACGGGGTCACTACATCGCATGGGAGTTACTACCTAAAAGTCGGTACTAACCGAGTTTGGGTACCTTCCTACCGACCCTTACGAGAATTGCTGACGCAGGAAGTACACGACTCCAACCTCTCCGGGCATTTCGGCGTCGACAAAACGTTGAAGATACTGCAGCGGAATTACTACTGGCCCGACATGGCGTCGGACGTGCAGCACTACGTGTCCGCCTGCCCGACCTGCCAAGCAATGAAGTCATCCCGACAACGCCCAGCTGGATTACTGCAGCCCCTCGAGCCACCCGAACGACCGTGGCAACAAGTGACAATGGATTTCGTCACGGGCCTCCCAGCTGGCGCAAGTGGCAACGACTCCGTGCTCGTCGTCGTTGATCGCTTAACGAAAATGGCGCATTTCGCGCCCTGCCGTACAACGATCACATCCGAAGAAACAGCAAGACTCTTCATCTCGACCGTCGTGCGCCTACACGGGTTACCTTCGGCGATCATCAACGATCGAGATCCGAAATTCACGTCGAAGTTCTGGCAAGAGACATGGGCACAGTACGGTACCCGCCTGCAGTTTTTGTCGTCCTACCACCCGCAAACTGACGGACAGACAGAGAGGACAAACCAGACGATGGAGCAGCTGATTCGCACGAATTGCCCAGACATCACCAAGTGGGAAGATTCCCTTCCCATGCTCGAGTTTGCGTACAATAACGCCCCATCTGCAACGACCAAGCAGTCACCATTCTACCTGAATTACGGGATAGACCCGGTGGTACCCTCGTCAACGACTCCCGACAACCCGGTACCCAGGTCACAGCAGTTTATTTCGGAACTACAAGCAGCGCGCGCCAAAGCAGCGGAATTTATCCAGAAAGCGAATTCGGCCGCCAGTCGCTACGCCGACCAACATCGACGCAATTTACCCTTTCGTGAGGGGCAGATGGTTCTCCTGGACACCAAAAACCTCAAACTGCCCCAACCTGCAAAACTGCGTCCACGCTACGTGGGACCTTTCCGCATCATTCGGATGCTGACACCGGTCACTGCGAAACTTCTACTACCGGACGACTGGCATATCCACGACGCCTTCCACGTCAGTTTACTTCGCCACTACGTGGCACCCCAGTCATCCGACGTCGCTCGACCCCACCAGGCGCCAAGTGTCCGACCAGTGGCAGATTCTACGCTCCAACCTTGGAAGATATTGAATCATCGCATTCGTGCGACCCCCGCTGGACGCCACGTCGACTTCCTACTACGATGGGTGGATCGCACAAGTGACGATGACACGTGGGTCCCGGCTGACTCACTACAAGGGCACTCGGTACTTCGGCAGTATCTTTCTCGCCGACATGTGCCTGATATTGACCACCTTTCTTGAAGGGGGGGGGTAGTGTAAGGAATTTCGCTAATTCCTTACTGAGGCACCTCTTACGCGTTCAATTCCAACTTTCGGGATTCAGGCTCGGTCCGTCGACCTCGCCTCCCGAACGTCTCCCGCGTCGCCTTCGGGGTTCCCCAACCCCAAACCTACACCCAACCTTCGCGCGACTCCGCGACCTCGGCTTAGCTAGCTGTGCTATATTATGCCTAGGCCTCGTTGTTTGCTCAGTAGTTGTAATCACTTCCGCGATATTGCATTCTGCGCACTCTTCTTTCATACAACTCATAACACGCGTTAAGCGAGTTACCAAACGTGTTAAGTGAGTTACCAAACGCGTTAAGCGAGTTACCAAACGCGTTGAAATCGCTACCGTACGCGTTATACTGCCCCATGTAAGTTACCATTGACATATTTTCCCCGAAGAAAACGGTCGAGGCTGGTACGTGGTGATAACGGGTTCAGTGTAGAGAATCAGCACTTCCCTTCTACACAATGTGTAAACTAGATAGTTATGGCTCCTTTGCTGCCAACTGAAATGATCAGGAATCAATAACGAACGACCAATGAAATCATACCTGGTATGGTACCGCTCAATCCAATACATCGCCATAACAAGGAAGTGAATATTTGAACGATCATCAGCATTGGCTATCTCCGCCTTACTACAGCACGCCACTAAGCAAACTCTCCATGTAATGTGCGGTACAACATTGTCAGAGGCTAACGAGGGAGTGCAATTAGCCCGATACCAGTAACACCTTTTCAATACGGTAGCTGCCAAAAAGTCTATTGACGCTACCCTTCCTGCCCTGCCAGGCCTGCTTCACCGATTCTTTCTAGTTCACGTCTATTTGCCTTTGTTGACCATGGCACCCTTGGGAACAGTGTCGTTCTTAGGAGCGGCAGCACTCTTGGGAGCATCAGCATTCTTGGGAGCAGCAGCACTCATGGGAGCATCAGCATTCTTGGGAGCAGCAGCAGTGTCAGCCTCCCCCAATGTGTTGCCAACCTTTCCCTCGCTTTCCCCCCCTTCCCCATCTTTCTTGTCCCCCTCCGTCTTATTCCCATCCCTCTTTGCATTCTTGACCTCAGCCGAAGGAGCAGGGGATGGTGAGAGCAAAGGGGAAGGAGAGGGAGAAGGAGGAGTTGTAGGAGAGGGAGACGGAGAGGGAGACGAAGCAGTGGACCTCCCAGCTTCCTTCCTAGCCAGCTCCTTGTAAAAGTCCACATAAGAGTATGATAGATACTGTGCTCGCACCCGCTGCATATCCGCCCTCTCCTGCGCACTCAGTCCCTCTTCCCCCAGCTCCTTTTCCACGTCACTGCTGCTGCTGCTGCTGGTGGGCGAGCTCTTGGCGTGAGAGTGGTTGGAGGAAAAGTTGAATTCTTGGTACTGGGCTGTGAACGGGCCGTATGACCAATCCATCTGACAACGAAACGCCACAGGGGGACGGGAGAGGGGGGAAGGAGCAAGGTGAAGGTGCAGGGGGGAGAAGCAAGGGAAGGAGCAAGGGAAAGGAGGAGTGAATGGAACAACGGCCTAATGGCAACCTTGGTACAGTTCCAGAAACGGTGATGCAATGGTGCTGCATGAGATAAAAAACGCCCAACAACGCAACAACACAATAGCATAAGAGCAGCGGAAGTGGGAATGGCATGGCATTGCAAAGGGAAGGGATGTTAATTGAAACGCCAAGACAAGGGCAATTAACTCGAGGTGGCAGGTGAGAAAAGGCAAGGAGGAATAAGAGGAGGAAGGGGAGGCGAGAGCGTACAGGAGGCATAGCCCAGTCCGCGGACCAGACGCTTGCGCACACCCGCAGTGGTGACACCACACCCACTGCTGGGTTGTGCGGGTTGAAGCGCGTCTCTCGTATGGGGCGCTCATCCACATACCAGCTGGGAGTAGTGAAAGGGAGAGAGGGAGAGGGCGTGAGTCTTTTGCTGTAACTGCTTATCCTTTGAAGACAGGGAGCAGGTAGCAGGGAACAGGAAGCAGGAAGCAGGGAGCAGGGAGCAGGGAGCAGGGAGCAGGGAGCAGGGAGCAGGGAGCAGGGAGCAGGGAGCAGGGAGCAGGGACAAGGGAGGTGGGTCAAGGGAGAAGGGACAAGGGAGCAGAAGGCAGCAACTCACACAATGGCCTCGGGCGACCAGCGCACGCTGTATGTGTGAAATTCACTGGTGGGGTCGAACCACGGCTGCATCTGCTCCTCATGCCCGCCCTTGCCGTTGGCGTAGTAGTTGGTGTGGATGCGGATGCCGCTCGGGCTCTCGCTGCCTATCAGCTCAAAGTCTATCTCGTCGTGCCGCCCAGGCAGCTTGCTAGTGAGCTGGTAACGGGCAAAAATAGGGAGGGCGAAAGAGGGATTGGAAGGAGGGCGTTGAGCCGCAGGAGTGGGTCGGGTGGGATGGGGCGGGATGGGGCGGGATGACATGGGTGGCAAGGAAGAGGGTAGAGAGGGCATGCCAACATGCCTGCATGGCATTCAGTGACTCCTCACAGTCCGCTCTGGCGGTTCACGCAGCAGCGGTCACCTCTGCTTCACAAGGACAGACAATCAAGTATACGCCCCCGCGGAGCGTGGCGCGACTCACACGCATCCTACCGCGGCGGTGACACTCTTCGAGTACAGTACACGGGCGGAACCTGCATGAGATTTCTCAAATCCGTTGCATGCAGCTGTATATTTCGAGAATTATAGAAAGAAACAAAGCGTGCAGCCTGCCGTGACTCACATAGAGCGTGGTGATGACGCTCCCCGAGTACACAGGCGGCACCTTGATCCGCGCCGACACGAACCCGAACCGCAGGTACGACTTGGAGTTAACAGCGCCCACTGCGCGCATTAAGGGGAATGGGCGGATGGGGGACGGGGGCAGATGAGCGGAAGCGAGGGTGTGGGTTGTCAGTAGAGCAGATGGGGAAGGTGGGCGACGGGAAGAGCAGAGCGCGACAAACTCCGCGCTTGGATGGTAAGGAAAAGGGGCGGAGTTCGGGTGATTGTGGTTGCATGCGTGTGCGCGAGTGTGCGTGAGTGGGTGGGTGTGTAGATGCAAACGCGGCTTACATCCGGCGTATTGGTCGAGTGTCAGCCGCACGTCGCCTGAAGTGCGGTCGATCTCCGTGAGCTGCGGCACGCCCACCACCTCCAAGTCCGCTACACCGAGGGACGTATCAGACGACTCCTGCGACTCTTGCGACTCCTGCGACGCGTTCGAAGGTGACGACGGCTCATGCGACGTGGCAGCAGAACCAGACACGGACGCCACGAGCGGCCGTCGCCCGTCGTCGTTGTCGTTGGCGGACGCAATCTCTCCCTTGCCAGATGCGGGCTTCACTCCGCCCACTTCCACTTGGCTCCCCCCCTCCTCCTGCTGCTCCTCCTCCTCGTCGTCGTTCGCACCCGTCTCCGGAGACTTGACTGTTTCCTCGTCAACCCCCGACACCATCACCACATTTGAAGAAGATCCCTGGACCCCCTGTCCCGTCACCTCGTTCTCCGTCTCCCCCTCCTCCGCATCATTCACTTCTGCCTTATCGCCCGCATCACCATCCGCTCCTGCGTCGTTCTCGCTCTCGCGCTCTCCGCCCGCCTCGCCTGTTACCTTCTCGCCGTCGTCCGCCTCTCCCTCCGAAGGTTTCGCCTCACCACTGACAGTAGATTCAGACGCACTGTCATCGGGGTCTGAATCAGCATTTGTACCACCGGAGCGCGCCAGAATCTCGTCCAAATTCGCATTTTTCGCCTTCTGCAGCGGCTCCAACGACATGTCGCGGAAATCCCGTGAGCGCGAGTTGACCCGAGCAGCGTCGGGTTCCTCAAGGTCACCGTTTCCGCCCGCCACAGCAGCTGTTCTGATCTGCGCGATCCGCGCGACCATGTCACCGATGCCGTTGCTGCCGGCGGCAGCGCCGTCCGTGGCGCTGCTGCTGTCGCCGAGTTCCCCTCCACGCTTCGCGGCGGCTGCTGAGTTGTCCAATAGAAGTCTGTTCGCGTCGCTAGCTGTTTCCGTGGGTGAGGAGTCTGTCCTCGAGCCGCCGCTGGCAGGCTGGGTCAGTGCCATGAGGCAAGGCCTCCCAGCAGCAGACGGATCGCCAGAAACACCAGCTCCACCGCAAACGGGAGGCTGCGACGCGGTCACGCTGGCTTCCTGACTTATAGTTTCTTCCCCGGAATCGGGACCGTATGGAGCGTGAGAGTCGGAATCTGACTGCAGGGAGTTCGCGCTGGGTTTGCTGGCGGGGAGGAATTTCCGGAACATGAGCTGTTGCGACTCGCGCGGCTTCATGGGATGAGGGTGGAACGAGGGGAATGCAGCGGAGGGCAGCAGGAGGCTGACGACGAGCAGAGTGAGGGTAATGAGTAGAGGTGATTCAAACGATCGGGGTTGAAGTCGATTCAGAAGCCCGGATCGCGCCATGGCTTATGGTGGGAGGGAGAGTACTACTGAAGATTACGCCAGCACCTTTTAGCCTGAAGCTGGAAAGTCAGAGAGGAAACCATGCAGCTAGTTTCCAGACCAACAAAAGGTTCTCTGCTGAAACACGTCTGCGACCATGTTCGAGTTATCTAGTACTTGTGGTCAGTAGAAAGAAACCAGAGCAAACGAGGGAAAACAAGCTCTGTGTTCTGCGTACCTTCTGTAACGCGCGGCGCGATGAGACCCGAATTCGATGCGATGCGATTCGGTACACGAAAATGTGACCATCCCGTGGAAGCGGTGCTTTCGGGTACGGGCAGGTCAGAAGAAAGATGCATGATTTGAGATGGTGCGGATTCTGGCGGGCCAATGAGATGTCAGATCGCGACCTTAGGGGGGGAACTGGTGCAGCACAGTTGCCAGGCAACTGCTAACGCCAGCAAACGCTGGAACAAGGAACTCAGGAGGGTCAGGCGCGAAATTTGAAATACACCACGTGGCTTTCTGACACTCGCTGAAGTTACAGATAGTTCTGTGCACACAGCAGACTTGGGAGGGGGAATGAGCAGGTGCGGAACTGTAATGAATATACATTCATTACTGCCGAAGCTGCTCCTAGCGAGGACAGCTCCGAGCTCTTCGCGTCAGTTTCAGGTTCGGCCTACATTTCGGACCGAACCACTACCGAGTCGCCCCGCACCAATCGCGACACTTCCAAACCATCCACGTCCCGAGGTCCTGGCCTAGCACGGTTTCGACCCTCAAAATGTGTGCTCCTGTAAGGAATTTTCTCGGCATTCCTTACGGAGCCCGACTACATCGCGTACAGCAACAACCGTTGTTCGCCCGTTACTGCTAACGGGACTTCGCCAACTTCGCGCGCACTGTTTTGCCAAACCTCGCACTGCTGGCCCGGCCGTGTCGGCCTACGCTTCGGGACTAGCCCGAGCCTCGCTGCCAGCATAGCACTTGCTAGCCCGCACGCACCGCGTTACCGCTTGCATGTTTCGCGTATAAATGTTCGCTCATGCCTTCGCTCACATCTTTGTACTCGTTTGACACCTTAGTGCAATTCTCGCTGCTTCGATTCATTGCACCCGTAACACTTGGTATTCAGAGCCCCTTTCTTTCGGACCGCGCATCTCCGCACCCCAGGAAATCAACTTTTGATTTTTCACTCGAAGGGACTCACGTACCTTAGCACCTAGGAGCCGTTGTCCTCGCGTTCTCTCGTAAACGCGTGCAGCCACGACTGCGCCTAGACTAAGACGAGCCGACGCCCTTCGAAATGGCTGAACACATCGACGTCACGACTCTCACGCAGGAGCACTTGGACGATCTGCTGCGACAAATCCGCGAGAGCGCCGAGGAAATCGCGACGCTGACGGCAGAACGCTCGTCCCTGCAAAACGACCTCACACGAGCACAATCCCAAGCACCTGGCACTCCGATTCAGCCCGCACCACAAACACCACAGCACGGAAGTGTGGGGCAACCCGCGAGCGCCGCAAGTGATGGCGTCGTCCGCCATGACGGAGACGACGACCACGGCACGACACACCCCGACGCGACGAATGCGGCCAGGACTCAGCCTCAAGTCACGATTTCAGTGCCGGCCGGCGGATCAACTCTTCCGTCGCCGATGCCGCTAAAGCCGCAGCGTCCGCCATGCTTTGACCCAAGTCAGCGGGGTGGTCCTACCGTTCAGGCGTGGCTCTTCACATTGAACGTTTTCTTCGACGCGAACTACGTCTCGGAGGATACGGCGAAGATTCGTTACGCCGTGTCGTTGCTGCGAGGACCCGCCATGGACTCGTGGCGCGTCATCGTCACGAAGCCGGCGGACTACGCGACTCTACCGACAAGGGAAGGACAAACCGGACCCTGGGCGCCGTCGTATTTCGTGGAGGTGCCCCAGTATCGCACGTGGGACGCGTGGTGCGCAGGTCTGCGCGCTCGTTTCGAGCCAATCGCGACTTCGATCGCGGCGCGACAAAAGCTCCGTACTTGGCGCCAACTCGGTTCCGTCCAAGAATACACGAGCGGATTTCTAGCGCTATGCGAGCAGGTGGGATATATGCACGAGAGCGAGCGGATCGACCGCTACATCGGCGGCCTGAAGCAGGACATCGCTCCGGAAATCTAGCTTCGCGGCGTCACCGACTTTCAAGAAATTCTCGCTATGGCGGAGAAACTTGATTTCTTCCGCCGACCGAGACCGGGGTCCTACGGAAGCAGCCATTGGGGACATCGGCCTTGTGGGACAAACGAGGGCACCACGATACGTGCCGTCGCCGCAAATGCCGCTGCCGCACCGTTCAAAGGGCGTTGCTTTGCGTGCAATCGGCCGGGACATCGCAAGAGCGAATGCCCGAAAAACGCTAAGGGAAAGAGGGAAGCTGAGCAGCAGAAGCAGACCAAGCAGCAGGGAAACGCTGGGAGTCAGTAGCAGACGGGCCCTCTACTGACAGGTCACGCCGCTCGCCCGACCCAACCGACCCTCACCGAGTGATTGTGCCGGTTCACGCAATCGACCACACCCGGCCGAATAAGGAGGGGACTACGGTAGACAGCCCCATACTGCTTAGTGGGAAAATTGGGATGGACTTAGTAAAAATCTTCGTAGACGGGGGAGCCAGCCATAGCCTTATCAACACTGCCACAGCACGAAAATTGCGACTGCCAATGGAGAGATGTTTACATGAGATCGACGCAAGACTGGTAGACGGCACGCCGCTGGCAATTCGGGAACGCGTAGACCGAGTTCGGATTCGATGTGGGGGTAATTTCACGTTTAGCCAAGAAATGCTCGCAACGACCCTCGACGGAACTGATATTTTACTTGGGCGTGATTGGCCGTGACGACACAATCTGCGAATCGACTGGACGACGGGTGACTGCACCGTGTGAGTGAATGGTAACAACATCGCCTTACCTCGCTGGGGCTCGCCTGAATCTTCGTCGGTGCGTGTCAACGCGATCACGATGAAACGCGCCGTAGCGGCAGGCGCTGACGTGTACGCGGTCGACATTCGGGAAGCCGAGGCAGTAGATAAAGGAGGGGATTTACAGAAACTGCTGGCCGACGTACCGAGTGATCTGGCAGCACTATTGAAGCAGTACAGGGACATTTTCCCGGACGATTTACCGACGGGACTACCACCTCAGCGACCGCACGACCATAGGATAGAGTTAGAACCGGGGGCACAGCCAACAGTACAGCGACAGTTCCGACTGACCCAGCCCGAACTGAACGAACTGAGGAAGCAGCTCGATTACCTGCTCGAGAAAGAATTCATTCGCCCTAGTTCGTCGCCCTTCGCAGCACCGATAATGTTCACACCGAAAAAAGACGGGGGATTTCGCATGTGCATAGATTACAGAGCACTGAACAGGGTTACCATCAAATCCCGTTACCCCATCCCGCGAGCCGACGAAATGATTGACCAACTGCGCACAGTCCGGGTTTTCTCGAAAATCGACCTCCTAGGGGGTTACCACCAGATTCGCGTCAATCCACGCGACTGCCCTAAGACCGCATTTCGCACACGCTACGGATCCTTCGAATACACCGTCATGCCCTTCGGACTGACCAACGCCCCCGCCACTTTTCAAATGACCATGAACGAAGCTTTCCGCCCGCTTTTATATAAGTGCGTCATCGTATACCTGGATGACATACTGATTTACAGCCCTGACAGAGCACAGCACTTATAGGACATCGAAGCAGCTTTTTAAATACTGAGTGCGAACCGCCTACTGACAAAAGCGTCTAAGTGTGAGTTTTTACAGAACCGCATGGAATTTTTGGGACACGTTATTTCAGCTGCAGGAGTGAAAATAGACCCGAAGAAAATTGCGACGATTCAAGCATGGCACGGGCCGACCAACTTGACCGAGTTGCAGAGTTTTTGGGGGTTCGTCAACTACGTGCGCCGGCTCGTCCCCGACATGGCGAAGCTGACTGCCCCGCTGACAGACCTGCTGAGGAAGGGGGTTGAGTACACGTGGGGGGAGAAAGAGCTAGCCGCCTTCTCGGCCCTCAAAAACATTTTGTGCTCACCGCCCGTGCTTCACATGTCAGATCCACATCGTCCGTTCGAGCTCGTCACTGACGCAAGTGACATCACTGTGGGAGCAGTAGTGTTGCAGGATTTCAGGAATGGCCTCCAGCCAATCGCGTACGAGTCCCGCAAGCTACACCCGCCCGAACGCAACTACCCGATACACGACCGCGAAATGTTGGCGATCGTGCACGCGTTCAAGGTTTGGCGGTGTTACCTGACTGGCGCCGACGTGACAGTACGGACAGACCACCGATCACTACAGTACCTACGCACCCAACCAAATCTCAATCCGCGACAGATTCGCTGGTTGGACTACCTCGAGTCCAACTTCCACTACACGGTTACGTACAAGAAAGGCGCCTCCAACATCGCCGACGCACTCACTCGCCCTACCGCCCAACTCCATGCCATCCTACTCGCCCAAACCAACCCGCTTTTAACAGGCCTATTCACCCACGGATACCACATCGACCCGTTTTTCACGGCCGGAAATTCACAGCAACTGGCAGAAGCTAAAGGAGTTTATTACGTAAAAACAGGCACCAATCGCATCTGGGTGTTGAACAAGGAATGAAATGACTAAGAATGAAATGAGTACAAATATGGAAACCTAGAAGTGTGTACCCCCTATAGGCTAACCCACTGTAGCCTAAACAACTACAACAATATATATAATGTTTGACACACCCCCATAGGCATAGTGGGGAGAACTAGGGGTCACTGTCAGAACATATCTATAGCTTATACTATTGTGTAGGCTGTAGTGGGGTATCCCATAGGGGGTACAACCCAGTTAGGGTTTCATATTTGTATTGCCTTCATTCATAGTCCACACATTCCTGTTCTACAATTCTCACATGGTATAGAGCGGGTTCCCTGTGGGAACTTCGCCTAGGGCCCACCGAAGCGCGCCCCGAGGCGCGCTAACTTTTT